CCCACCCGAGGCATTAGACAAGGTGATCCAATCTCGCCCTTCTTGTTTATCCTTATGTCTAACGCATTGTCCTTTTTGATTGATAAAGCAGTGTCCAGAGGCGAGATTCGTGGTATTAAACTTAATCATAATTTTCCAAGAGTATCACATTGCCTTTTTCGCTGATGATACGGTGATCTTTGGTAAAGCAAGTGTCAATGAGGCTGATCATATACAGAGAATATTGAGAAATTATGGAGAGGTTACCGGGCAAGAGATTAATGCTTCAAAATCCTAAATTTTCTTCAGCAAAAGTACACCGGAAGCAATTCGGAATTTAGTGACTAATAAGTTTGGTTTCCCCCCGTCTATCTGTCATGATAAGTATCTGGGAGTTCCATCTGAGTGGGGAAGATCAAAAAAAGAAACTTTTCAGTTCTTGTTGGATCAAATGGAGAAGAAGGGAGAGTTATGGAAGAGTCTCTTGTTATCTCTAGGAGGGAAGGAAGTGCTACTAAAATCTGTAATTCAAGCAATCCCTTCTTATATCATAAGCGTCTTTCTTCTTCCTTTATCCCTTACTTGCAAGATGGACTCTATTCTTAAGAGGTTTTTTTGGTCGGGATCCATGAAAAAGAAGTCAATACATTGGTGTGATGCTCGAGTTCTAGAAAAACCGAAGGAAGAAGGAGGAGTGGGTTTCATGAATTTCCACCTGTTCAACCTGGCACTTATTGGTAAACAAGTATGGCGAATGCTTGAGAACCCTGATGCATTATGGGTACAATTACTTAAGGGTCTCTACTTTGCCAATGGGGACTTGTTTTCAGCTTCAAAAGGAAGAAAAGGATCATGGATTTGGAATGGCTTCTGTGATGCCAAGGATGCTTTAAAGATTGGATGGGTTAAAGGGATTATGTCAGGGGAAGGAACGAAGTTTCATTGTGATCCATGGTTACCATCTATTCCATCGTTCAACCTCAAGAGCCTTAATTTGGAACCATCACGAGTTTGTGATTGGATTTATCCCTCAACTCGGGAATGGAATGTGGAGGCTTTACAAGAGGTTATCCCACACGAGATGATTAAGGCTATCAAGAGTATTCCAATCGGACCATCTACTTCTGAAGATAAGTGGTTTTGGAATCACACAAGCACAGGGGCATACAAGGTAAGTTCAGCTTATAGATCTTTACGTGAAGCTAGAGACCATTCTTCTTTGTCTTTGTCTGCAGGTTCAAATGAGGCTCACCCCAATAGGCAAGACTGGAAATGGCTCTGGTCTCTTTCAGTCACCCCAAAGCTTCATTTCTTCATCTGGAAGAGTGCGAAACATGCAATTGCGACTCGTGCCCGTCTTTTCTCTAGGATGTGTTCGACTGATCCGATGTGCCCCATATGTGAGCAGCAAGTGGAGTCGATCATGCACATGTTCTTTCATTGCCAGTATGCTGATGGGAGTGCTTTGGAGGTCTGTCCACCCCACCGACACCCGAGACTACATTCGCTGAGTGGTTCTTCTCCCTTAGAGAGAATGTGTCGGATGAGGCGATCAAGAGGATTATATGTTGCTTATGGAATATTTGGGTCGCTCGGAATGGGTTCACTTTCGAGAACAGGGCTATTTCCCCTCCCTCAACGGCTACTTTAGCTGAGAGAGAATTTCTAGGCTTGACTGAAGCTAGAAATTGTGATCGTTCTAACTCTTCTATACGTCCAGCTATGGAGCCTACTCAACCTAGGGGATCCCGATCTAACCCCTCACCACCGCCTAGTGCCTTTCATAGGATCGTGCATTGTGATGGTTCCTTTGTTTCTGAATCATAGATGGCGGCTTGTGGGATTACAGTTGCTAGTTCCCATGGTCAGGTGTATGACGGCAAGGTTGAGAGATTCTTTTGTTCCAGTTCGATGCAGGCGGAAGCTTATGCTATTCTCAATGCAGTGATCTTGGCGGCTCGGGAACAGAGCTCAGCTTGTGTCAAATCTGATTGTCAGAGTTTGGTGAATGCTCTTAAGCTTGTTCCAAACCTATGGCCTTGGCAATGTCGGGCTTTACTTGCTCGTGTCTCGACCATTCTCGTTTCGGCTCCGTGGGTGAAAGTGATGTTTGTTCCTCGACGTCACAATCTTCTAGCCGATTGGGTTGCTCGTAATGCTAGATTAGATGCTCTCCCACAAGATTGGATCGTTATTGCTGATCTCCTTTCACCACTGTTGTAATCAATTGTACTTCCACTGCTTCGATTTGGAATAAAAGTGCCCCAATTTGTCCATTTTTTTTTAAATTCAACTTAAAATGAATGAGATAGTTTAATGTTAATATGAGTAGAGGTTATATTTGGTGTATTATAGTTATACAATTTTTTTTAATATGGTGGTATGGATATATTGTAGTTGTAAGATATTCATACATGTGGTCCAAAATATTTTGCTTGTAATAATTATTTTTAATAGTCATATCATCTATTTAATAGTTAAAAATCATGTAGGACGAGCTTAACGAAATTGAAAAACGAGTGACTAAGAATAGAACGAGATTTAAAGTTAATGACTAGTGAAAAATGAATTTTTTTTTCAAGCATGAGAAAATTGACTTATTTCGGGTATTAAATATACAATTTAATACTTTGTTATCGGGTATATTAATTTGGCTCTATCATATATGCTTGATGTTGCGGCTTCCTCTGGCTCTATCCCTTATCATCCTCAAGACCCATGTTAGCTTCGCAGATGATATATTAATTCTTACAGAGGGTTCAGCTGCTGCACTCTTGAAGGTAAAGAAGATTATTGCTGATTTTTATAAACTTTCAGGATTGAGATGTAATCCCAATAAGTGTGAGGTCTTTTTTTGTGGGAATGTTGTTCATTATAAGGACAACACGTTTGCACTTACTGGATTTAAGGAAGGTACCCTTCATGTACGTTACTTGGGACTGTCTCTATTTGCTGGTAGCTTAGCAAGTAGAGAGTGTGACCTCCTGGTAGATAAGATCACTAGTAGATTGCGTTCTTGGCGTGCTGATAGACTTTCTTATGCGGGTCGTTTACAGTTTATCTCTTCAGTGATCTATTCTATTATTCAGTTTTGGATGTCTATTCTATTATTACCAAAGAAAGTACTTGACAAAATTGATAAACTGTGCTCTGACTTCTTATGGCACGATGATAATACTGGAAGAGCTAAGGTGATTTGGGATGTAGTTGCGACATCTAAACGAGAGGGAGGCCTGGGTCTTAAAGATCTTTGTACTTGGAACGTGGCTGGTATGGCTCGTCTTTTTTGGATGTTGTTTATGCGAGGAGGAAGTTTTTGGGTTGCTTGGATAATTCACTTCAGGCTCAAAGGAAGACTTCTCTGGTCTATCCCTGAAACGTCTTCTGGTTTATGGATTTGGCATAAAATGTTGAAGCATCGTAGTTGGTTCAGGTTTCGCCTTGAAGTAGATCAGAATGGGGTGGTGACATGGGATGCAGCGGTTTTCCTTAGGCAGAGTCGGTGAGTCAATCCGAACTCATCATACAACTGTACCATGATGGCAACTCATTTGGAGTCGCTATGTTATACCTCGACATAGAATTATTGTTTGGTTGATTATTCTTGACATGATTGCAACTAAAACTAAGCTTCAGGCATGGGGTAAAATTGCAGATGTTGATTGTGTGCTTTGTAATGCTGCCGATGAAACTAGAGAACATCTTTTCTGTCATTGTTTGTATACTCGCAACCTTTTCTCTATTGTCTCTAGAGAATTGGTAAATACTTGGGCATGCACCTGAGAAAGCAGGCTTCGAGCAGCAAGTTCTCTGGCGCGATCTGGGGGAGCTAAAGGGCGAGTTGCAAGCGCTATTTGGTGCTGGGTTGTGTACTTAATCTGGACGGAACGTTGTAGCAGAGTTTTTGGTGGCCCTCAACTTGACTGGTAGGTGCTATTTCGACAATTGCGTGAGGAATTTCTGCTTGTAGTTATTGATAATAGAGCTTTTTGTAGTGACCTTGGTAGTGTGAGTGATTTTCGATGGCTGTTATGAGAAGCCGGTTTGTGGTTCTCTCTGTTGACAAACTCTGTTTGTCTTGTTTTTTCGGATGTTTGATCATTTGATCAAAAGAGCTTCAATAAAACTTCCAACTTACCGGGGGGAAAAGTACAATTTAATACTTTGTTATCGGGTATGTTAATTTGGTTCAAGGAACAATTTCGGTTACCCATTTTTTTTTAAATTCAATTAGGGGTCGTTTGGATGGAGTATTTGTATGAGTTATTTGGGTTCAAATAACTCACATTGAGTTATTTGAGCACAAATAACTCGTTTGGTAACGTTTTACTGAAATGAATTATTTGGACAGTGAGTTATTTACAAATAACACAAAACGAGTTATTTGAAATAACTTATACTCATGTGTTATTTCGAAATAACTCGTTTTATCACTCTGCTTTTACCAAATACCACATGTCGAATACCACATTTGCATGGTTCAACCAAACGAGATACTTTATTTCAATTACCATTGAAATAATACTGAAATATCACATGAATAATAAATGAGTTATTTGACTCTAAAAATACCACATTGACAATTAACCCATCCAAACGACCCCTTAGCATTTTCATGTCAAGTATGAATGCAATCTGCAATAAACAAAAAAAAAAATCATATTAAAGTAGGCAAAGGTAGTAAATAATTCATTCGAAATTTTGGTACCGTATATTCCCTCCGTATACAGGGAAACAAATTATACCTAAAAGAAGAAAAAGGAAGACACGAATTCCCGGTCAGAAACATATGTCTCTGTGACGAGGCATAAATGCCAAGCAGACGCAGCAATGCCAGATGGCGCGTCTTTATAGCTACCCAACGTCCTCTCTGCTTCACTCTCTCCCTTCCCATGGAGATAAACTTCCCTCCATTGTCCACGTCATCACCACCACCACCACCACCATCCCCTCTCCCTCCCGCCCTATTTATATCTCTGCCAAACCCATTCGCCTCCCTCCTCCCTCCCATAGGCTGTTACCACAAAACTCTCTCTCTCTCTCTCTCTCTCTCTCTCTCTTCCTTCCCCTGATATTTCCCTTACTCTGTTTTTCTCTCCCCCTGCTCTGTTTCAATACTCTGTTTTCCATTTCTCCGGAATTCAGAGACATGGTGGTCCTGTCTCGTCCAGCATTAGACCATTTCTCCTCAATCAAGACATGCAAACCCACGGCGGGGCTGTTCGCCGGAATCCCGGTGGTCGATTTCGCCGACCCGAACGCTAAGGCCCTGATTACAAGGGCGTGCCAGGAGTTCGGGTTCTTCAAGATGGTCAACCACGGCATCCCATTGGCGACAATCAACCGGCTCGAGTCCCTCGCCATTGAATTCTTCAGCCTCCCCCAATCCCAGAAAGACGCCGCCGGCCCTCCCGACCCGTTCGGCTACGGCAACAAGAGAATCGGACCCAATGGCGACATCGGCTGGATTGAGTACCTCCTCCTTCACTCCCACAAACCCGCCGCCGGCGCCGGCGCCTTTTTCGACAGCCGTCGGAATTTCCGGTAAAACAGAGCACACCAATTTTTTTAAAATAAATGCAACAATAACTCTCGTTTGTCTGTTTGTGTAACCGTCCGGAAATTGGACTTGGTGACTGAATTGGGACTCTTCTCTATTTGTTTCCGTTTTTGTTGGGTATAGGGCTGCGGTGGAGGAATACGTGGCGGCGGTCAAGGCGATGACGGTGGCAGTGCTGGAAGCGATGGCGGACGGGTTGGGTATAGAGCCGAGAAATGCGCTGAGCCGGCTGGTCAGGGGGGAGGACAGCGACTCGTGCCTGCGGTTGAACCACTACCCTCCCTGCCCAGAGGTTCAGCCCCTGACCGGTCAGAACCTCATCGGGTTCGGGGAGCACACCGACCCGCAGATCATATCTGTCCTCAGATCCAACAACACCACTGGCCTCCAAATCTGCCTTCGGGATGGCACTTGGGTTTCTGTCCCACCTGACCACTCCTCCTTCTTCATCAATGTCGGCGACGCCCTCCAGGTAATTAAACACTAAACTAACCTCCAATCCAACAGTATCAACCTGTGTTAACATCGCGTAGTAAAACTCTTACTACACTGTATAATACGTGCGATTTTTTTTTCCCTCCAAATGATGCAGGTGATGACTAACGGGAGGTTTAGGAGCGTTAAGCACAGAGTATTGACGGACCCCACGAAATCGAGGGTGTCGATGATTTACTTTGCGGGGCCCAGGATGAGCGAGAGGATAGCAGCACTGGGATCGGTAATGGAAGCAGGGGAGGAGAGCCGGTACGTGGAGTTCACATGGGCTGAGTACAAAAAATCGGCTTACAAGTCAAGGCTGGCCGATTACAGGCTCGGCCAGTTCGAGAAGAAGAACATCGAGTCGTCCCCACCCAGCCGCGTTCCCAACTCGGTTTCTTAGTGACGAGTGAACCAAAATTCAATTTGGTTTTGGCCTCGGTTATTATTATATAATTATAATATTATTATTAATGTCTAGCCAGTAGGCAGTAGCCACCACCACCACCATAGCTGACTCAGACTTTGCTATGTATAGAAAACGAATAGGTTGCCTTCTTCTTTCCGCCCTTTAGTTTCCTTTACCGGCTGTTCCCTTCTCCAGTTGTTTCTTTTTCTTCTTTTTCTTCAGCTAGCTCGTAGTTAGGAATTAGGATCATGTAGTAGTTCAGAATATTGTACTTGTTCTTGTGGGACGAAATTGAGAGGGGGGAAAAAGAACCCTTGTAAAAGATCCTGGCGTTTTACTTTTTTATCAAATGCAACTGAATGTGTTCATATGTGAATTTCTGACGTGTAAAATGTATAGCAGCAGCTGGTGTTGGTGTTTGTGTTTGTTTTGCCGTTGAATGAATTGACTTTTGATAGAGAAAAGTGTCACGAAAAAAGTTGGAAATTAAAATCAAGAATATTAGCCTAGTTATGCAGAAGAGAAAGATCCTGAAAGTGATAACACATTACGAGATTGAGAGACTCTTATAAAAAAAACTAAGAGACTGCTTTCACTATTTTATATGAATATTTCTTGTTAGAATATAGACTATCATATCAATTAAAATTATGCGACGGAAAAATCAATTTAAAGAGTCAATGGAGAGAAAAAAAGACATAATATCTAGCCATCCGATTGAAAGATATAAGAAAAATGATCATAATTATAAATTTATCTGGACGCTTTTACAAGAGCTTTCATTTTAATTTCAACTGCAAAGAAAAGGGAGGATCTGGCAAAAACTACTGACTTGGGAAAAGGAGGAGGAAGAGCAAGTACATACTATTGATTTTGCCAGTTGGGGGATTGATTCCCCACTTTCCCACTCAAGACTAAGAGGGTGAAGGAAAGGAAGTGAGGGAACTCAACTCATATTCTAGTCAGATTTCCAATTATTACTACTTTTCTTCATTATTGTGGGGAAATATAGCCATCACATCATACCATTTAATAACAAAAGGTTTGTGTCTGCGATGGGTAATAGCAGCCAATTTTGCTTTTATTTCATATCATCCACATACTTGTCAACCAGAACCCAAACTTTTTTTTTTGGTAAGAACTCCAACCCAAACTTTAACTACATAATTTTAGTTTTTTTTTTATTTAGAAACAATAGCACTTAACCGGCGCCCCAAATTTTATGCATTAATAAAATGAGGTGACTCAACTCCAATCTAATCAAAGAATAATTAGCAACATAGGGAGTGACAAGGTAAAGAGAGAATGTGTTCTCGCGTAGGTATAGAATGCCCTAAGTAGCTAGGTAGTCGGCTTCATAAGTTTAGTTCGAAATAAAAGACGAATAGTTTTAGCATTCCAGTATGAGTGGTAACGTGGGTCACACACATTTTAACTATCTTAATTTTGATATCGTATCGTACTATGAATGAATCATTAGAGACCATCACTGGTTAATTATAATTTGTGACAATCTAGACGGTGGAACCATAGAGTTTTTTCCCCCTTCAGTTATTATAAAATGTACTAAGGGGTCGTTTGGATGGGGGATTTTAATATGAGGGTTTTTAAGCTCAAATCTCTAGTTTAAAAACCCAGGTTTTTAATTTGCAGGATTTATATTAAATTACTCGTTTGTTTGTGGATGAAGGATTTTAATTAAAAACTCACACTTAAGTCAAAGTTCATAATTGCCCTTCTTCTACACCTATTCATCGTTTAGGTGACGTCCATGGATCCAATTTGCTTTCTTCTTCCATTAGCAATTAGAAGGCTCCATGAAGGATTCATTTGCTTCTTCTTCTACAGCTCTCTCGCCAAAGCTTGCCGCCCTGCCCCGCCACAATCATCACTCCTTCTCTGCCGTCGGCGACTCGTTTCAACCCCTACAGGCGCTCAGTCCATCGTATTCCACCCTGGGTCCGCGCCGCCGTCGATGGCGTTCGCGAACAGGGTTTCCATTGGCGTCGCGTCGAGTGGGGTGGTGCGGCAACAAGATTCAACTTTGGTGGAGACGCGGGTGAACGAGAGCAATTTCGTGAGGATTTATGCCCAAAATGGAATTGTCGCTGCTGCCGCGAAGCCATTGGTCGTCGAGAGGATTGATAAGGACGAGAACATCCGAGAAGTAGTCAGTGTTGAGGATGGTTCAGTCGAGGAAGGTTAATTGAATTTGAGGAATAAGGAAGGGGCTCTAGATCATCAGCCGTAGGAGGGAAGAGAGCGGCGGGAAGTGGAAGTTGGGAGGCCAGATGAAGAACATCGGCGGGGAGGGATGAGAAAGACGATCGGAGAGATTGGAAGATGATGAGGGTAAATAGGGGATTTAATAAAATTAAAAGGGTCAGAAATGGAAGAAAAAATATAAGAATGAGAGATTTCGAAATAGATGACCCCCATAAGCTATTTAGAAATCCTACACTTGTGGGTTTTGGAAATCCCTAATACTTACAATCTCTCATGTTCCCAAACGCAGAATTGTATTAAAATCCTGCATAATGTGGGATTGTTTTAAAATCCCTCACAAATCACTTACTACAATTCTGCATCCAAACGACCCCTAAATAAATAATGCCCCAATTTATAATTAGCTCCTCCACCACTGATTTGCTAAATAGAGTTTTCTTTTCCATTAATGCCTATATCTACCTAAATTATAGTGGGCAAAAAATTAACAGTATGGCACAGCTACACAGTAGTGAGGGTAGTAAAAAAAAGGCAAAATCCACGTGTATAGCCATAACTTTCACGTTTGTGACAAATATAACAATATCTTTTTGAAAACCCGAAATAGCCCAAGAAACGGAGATAGTGTGACATATCTAGCCAATTCTGTTATAAACTTTAATGGTGTTAGAAACTCCGTTAAATGGTTTGACGGAACGCTGATGAGGATGCCAAATCATCGCACACATCAGCGACAACTCAACCACACTTGCCACGTAAGTGTCATGTCATATTTTAATTTAAAAATAAATAAGTTAACTAATTAATTAACTATTTCATAAAAAAAATTAATAAATCTGGAATATCTTTGGAAAAAGAAAGTAAAACAAAAATTAATAAAACAAAATAAGAGATGAAAACGTCTCCTTCCCTTCGCATCTCCGGCGACCAACCCCTCTCCTCCTCTCCTTCCACACTCTCCACCTTCCACCACCAAGGCACCAACCCCAATTCCCAAACCCTATTCATCTCCTCCCACTCGGTCACTCCGCCTTCCACCACCGACCCCAACCCCCATATCCTCTCCTCCCACTCCGACAGCGTTCCAGATCCAAAATCCACCCAACCCCCAAACTCATATCCTCTTCTCCCGCTCCCAATCCACCCAGATCTAAGACTCCACACGATTTTTGTTTTGATCTCGCAAAGCTTCAAAACCGGCTAGAATTAGGAAAATCACATATTTGCGACCGGAGAAGAGAGGGCGTTGCGCTTGTGACGAACACGAAGAAAAAAGGGGGATGGGGGCGACTGGGAGATGCAGCGGTCGATTGGCGATAGCGACGACGACGGTTCGGCGGCTCCTCGATGATGGTATAGAGTAATGGCTACTTGTTGCAGTTGAGGCTGATCCGGCGACTGGAGAGTTCTCCTTGTCCTTCTGGATCTCCTCTCCTCGCTTGAGGATCTTGACCTGGCCCATAGAGAGGACCTTGGCCGCAGCGGCATGGGGAGAGATCGAGGGTTCGGCTGTGGGACTGGGGGTGGTGGGGGAAGGAGGCCGCGGCGGTTGGTGAAAGGGTCGCGGAGGCAGTCCTTTGGGCTGAGAACGACTATTGCCATCGCGGTGGCCGAAGTTTCTACGAGAGGAGACAGAGAAGGCTATGGATTTTAACGGAGAGAGGAAGGCAGAGTTTGAACGGAGAGAGGGGATGGAGGATTTGGAGTCAGTAGGTCGAGGGAAAAGAGGTCGAGATCAGGTGGGTCGAAGAGGAGCAGGTCGTCGAAGCGGAAGGAGGTGTCGGAGTGCGCCCGGCGGTGATGGTAGCCCCGCTGTGGGGTTTCCGGGAAGGAGTAGGGGGGCGAAAAATGGTTGGGGTACAGGGAGGAAGGTGAAGATTTTTGTATAAATAATCTTATTTTTATTTTTCATCTTATGAACTCGGAAAATTGAATTTATGTTTTTTTATTTTTTTTTGTTAATCCACGTGTCCGACGAAGTATTGCTAGGTTAGCATTTTTGTTAGTCTAGTCAGAGTGTCAAGTAACACCGTTAAAGGGATGGACAGAATTGGCTATTTTTGGTTTTCAAAAAGATATGGCTATATTTGTCAAAAACGTGAAAGTTATGGCTATACAAGTGTATTTTGCCTAAAAAAAAGCTATCATAAAATTTCTGATTGAATTTTAGCTGTAAAAGATGGGGTACTTGATATGACAGTGTTAGAACTAGTGCTGCAAATGAGCCGAGTCGAGTTTTTACTTAGGTTGAGCTCGGCTCGTTTGTAAATTTTTCAGCTCAAACTTGACTCGAACTCGAATTTTGATAATACAGCTCGAGCTCAGCTCGATTAAAAATAATCCAGCTCGAGCTCGACTCGGTAAATGCTCATTAACACAGCTTGTCAAGCTGAGTACAAGCTCGGCTCAAGATGAGCTCGATCTGAAATCATTCATGCTGAAAAATGTGTACACATAAGAACTTAAATGATAAAAAGAACACTAGAAACTAGAAATAAAAACTAATTTCCATACACATCCGTATTAACAAGATAATGTTCATGTTTAAAAGAGTAATTAATCCTTCTATAAGCTCTAAATAAGCCAGCTCGTGAGCTTAGCTCAACAAGCCACCGAGTCAAGCTAGCTAGCTCACGAGCTTATCAAGCTGAGCATGGTCTAGCTCAAGCTTGGCTCGTTTACTAACGAGTCGGCTCGCGAGCCGGCTTGTTAACTAATGAGCCGAGTGTCAAACGAGTTTTTTCCCGATTCTAACGCCGAATTGCTCGCGAGCGGCTTGGCTCATTTGCAGCCCTAGTTAGAACATACTCTAAACTTTTATATGAGTTTTTACCATTTGGTCCATTTCTCATTTGTTTTTTTTGAATGTTGTCATAATTGAATACGTGTAGCGAGCCTTTCACATTTTACTAGTTAATCGATATCAATAAAAAATCATAATAACATATTTCAATCTTAGAGTTTTGAAAGAAAATAAAGAAAATGTTACTTAAAATGCCAGCAGAAAAATAAGATTAATTACTTTGGTAAGTTTCATAATATGATCAGTAATAAGCTTCTAGCATAGTTGGTAACCAATTCATTACCCTTTATCTCTTATTACCTCTACAAGTTAGAAATGAACTACTGCCCATTTCGTTATTACACAAAACCTACCATGTAATTTTCCAATATTTGGTAACACATCATAATGATAAATACCACTTAGAC